AAGAATAAAAAAAAAATAAAAATAAAAAAGAACAAATACAGTACAGTACTGTGTTAAACATAAACTACTAAAAAACAAAGAGAAAGTTTAAAAAAAAGATTTGACACAGTAAGAAAACTGTTTCTGTGTATGTTTCATTTCAATTAAGATGGTTAAAAGCAGCATTTTTCTTCTGCATAGAAGAATCTCCATTCCTGTTCATAACTCTGAGGTTCTACTGTATTGGACTAGCATAATGGTATTTGGTACACAGCTCTCTACCTCACAGGGGTGTTGTGAGGATAAATATATTAAAGAATATGAAGTGTTCAGATGCTACAGTAATGAGGGCCATGTAACACCATAGACAGATATCAAAATCATAGGTAAGGCTGCGAGTTTGTCACGGAAGTCATGGATTCTGTGACTTTTGGGGACCTCTGTGATTTCTGCAGTGGCCGGTGCGACTGGTCCGGGGACTGCCTGAGCAGCTCGGGCAACCCCTGGGCCAGCTGCACTGGCTGCTGCTTGGGCAGTGTTGGGCCACCCCATCCCCCCCCGCTCCGCCCCCAGCAGCAGCAGGAGTTTGGGTGTGGGAGGCGGTGAGGGCTCTGGATGGTGCTTACTTGGGGGAGCTCCCCGGAAGCAGCACCATGTCCCTCCCTCCCTCAGTTCCTAGCTCTGCGTGCTGCCATTGCCCCCGCAGTTCCCATTGGCTCTGGTTCCCGGCCAATGGGAGCTGCAGAGCCAGCACTTGGGGGGCCAGCGTGCAGAGCTAGGAGCTGAGGGAGGGAGTAGGGACATGTCACCACTTCCGGGGAGCCTCAAGGAGCCGGGTAGGGAGCCTGCCAGCCCTGCCATCTCCCCCCCAATGGCCCCCAGACTGTGCCCCCCAAGCACCTGCGGCACCCCCCAGACTGCCCCTCCCTGAGCATCCACAGTGCCCCCTCCCCAAGCACCCGTGGCACCCCCTGGCTGCCCCCCATGAGCACCCACAGCAAACCCTCCCCCGCGAAAAAATTTAGTTAGGGGTATATAGTACAAGTCACATATATGGACAGGTCACAGGCCGTGAATTTTTGTTTACTGCCCATGACCTGTTCATGACTTTTACTAAAAATACCCGTGACTAAAACATAGCCTTAATCATAGGCCCTCTGGCTCCTGGTCTGCCGTGTCTGGGAATGACCTGAGTTATCATCATAGTGCTGGCAGATCCCTAAAGATAAATCACTGTGTAAGAAGGAGAGCATGTGTATGTGGTGCATCAAGGAAGGGGCCTGGAGTCCAAACTGCTGATTTCTCCCTGTGTCACTGTATTGCCACGTGACCATAGGTAAATCACAGCTTTCTCATTTGTAAAATGGCGGGGTAATAATGATCCTGTTTGACAGAATGAGTTGTGAGGCTTAATTCATATCTGCAGACTCCTTGGAGACCTTTTCACTCAAAGAGGACCTGAAATGGAAAAGCAAAGTACAATTCTGATTATGGGACTCTGACATGGTGTCCACACGTGGCATTTACAAGCAGGTGTTTCTTATGAAATGCTTAAAACTAGGGCTGTTGATTAATCGCAGTTAACTCACGTGATTAACTCAAAAAAATTAATCGTCATTAATCGCAGTTTTAATCGCACTGTTAAACAATAGAATACCAATTGAAATTTATTAAATAGTTTGGATGCTTTTTTACATTTTCAAATATATTGATTTCAGTTACAACACAGAATACAAAGTATACAGTACTCACTTTATATTATTTTTATTACAAATATTTGCACTATAAAAATGATAAACAAAAGAAATAGTATTTTTCAATTCACCTCATACAAGTACCACAGTGCAATCTCTTTATCGTGAAAGCACAACTTACAAATGTAGATTTTTGTTGTTGTTATATAACTGCTCTCAAAAACCAAACAATGTAAAACTTTAGAGCCTACAAGTCCACTCAGTCATACTTTTTGTTCAGCCAATCGCTAAGAGAAACAAGTTAGTTTACATTTACGGGAGATAATACTTCCTGCTTCTTATTTACAATGTCACCTGAAAGTGAGAACAGGCACTTTTGTAGCTGGCATTGCAAGGTATTTACGTGCCAGATCTGCTAAACATTCATATGCCCCTTCATGCTTTTCCCACCATTCCAGAGGACATGCTTCCATGCTGATAACGCTCATTAAAAAAATAATGCATTAATTAAATTTGTGACTGAACTCCTTGGGGGAGAATTATATGTCCCCTGCTCTATGTTTTGCCCGCATTCTGCCATATATTTCATGTTATAACAGTCTCGGATGATGACCCAGCATGTTGTTCATTTTAAGAACACTTTCACTGCAGATTTGACAAAACACAAAGAAGGTACCAATGTGAGATTTCTATAGATAGCTACAGCACTCGACCCAAGATTTAAGAATCTGAAGTGCCTTCCAAAATCTGATTGGGACGGGGTGTGGAGCATGCCTTCAGAAGTCTTAAAAGATCAACACTCCAATGCAGAAATAACAGAACCTGAACCACCAAAAAAGAAAATCAACTTTCTGCTGGTGGCATCTGACTCGGATGATGATAATGAACATGCGTTGGTCTGCACTGCTTTGGATAGTTATTGAGCAGAACCTGTCGTCAGCCTGGACGCATGTCCTCTGGAAGGGTGGTTGAAGCATGAAGGGACATGTGAATTTTTAGCGCATCTGGCACGTAAATATCTTGCAATCCCAGCTACAACAGTGCCATGCAAACACCTGTTCGCACTTTCAGGTGACATTGTGAACAAGCACCAGGCAGCATTATGTCCTGCAAATGTAAAGAAATTTGTTTATCTGAGCGATTGTCTGAACAAGAAGTAGGACTGAGTGGACTTGTAGGCTCTAAAGTTTTACATTTTGTTTTATTTTTGCACGCAGTTACTTTTTTGTACATAATTCTACATTTGTAAGTTCATGATAAAGAGATTGCACTACAGTACTTGTATTAAGAGAATTGAAAAATACTGTTTCTTTTATTTTACAGTGCAAATATTTATAATAAAAATAAATATAAAGTGAGCACTGTACACTTTGTATTCTGTGTTGTAATTGAAATCAATATATTTGAAAATGTGGAAAACACAAAAATATTTATATAAATAGTATTCTATTATTGTTTAATAGCATGATTAATCGTGATTAATTATTTAATTGCTTGACAGCCCTACTTAAAACTTTTTCCTACACTGATGCTTTCACTGTCTCTGGCTCAGTATCATGCACATCTCCTAAATCTTCTCTTTGGATCCCTAGATCCTGGTCAGACTTTGCAGGCTAAAGAATTGGTGCCACCCATGCCTCTGAACAACCCCTTCATGATGGATTACAAATTCCCATTTCAACACTCAATTCCTCCTCTCCCACACAAATCGGGGGTTCGCACTTTTCATTCTAAACAAGGCTCAATTATAGTAATGCCTAAGAGCCCCAGTCATGAGCCAGGATCCCATTGTGCTAGGTGCTGTACAAACAGAACAAGAAGCTCCCTGCCCTAAAGAGTTTACAATCTAAGTAAAAGTGTAAGCAGCTTGGGCATAGGCACCAACTTTTCAAACTGCCAGGGGGGTGCTCTGGCTCTGCCCCAGGCCCCGCCCCTACTCAACCCCTTCTCACAAGGCCCCGCCCCACTCTTCCTGCCTCCCCACCACTTCCCACCCAGTTCCGCCCCCTCCCCCCAAGTGCGCTGTGTCCTCAGTTTCCCCCCTCATCCCTCCCAGCCTTCCTGCACACGGCGAAACAGCTGTTCGCGGTGGGCGGGCGGGAGGCGCGGGGATGGATGGGGACGCGCTGATCTGTGGAGCCGCCAGCGGGCAGGAGGCGCTGGGGGGGGAGCTGATGGTGGGCTGCCAGTGAGTGCAGAGCACCCACCATTTTTTCCCCGTGGATGCTCCAGCCCCAGAGCACCCATGGAGTCAGCGCCTATGGCCGTGGGTTGACTTAACACAGGGGTTCTCAAACTGGGGATTGGGACCTCTCAGGGGGTCGCGAGGTTATTACATGGGGGGTGATGAGCTGTCAGCCTCCACCCCAAACCCTGCTTTGCCTCCAGCATTTATAATGGTGTTAAATATATTAAAAAGTATTTTTAATTTATTAGGGGGGTCACACTCAGAGCCTTGCTATGTGAAAGGTGTCACCAGTACAAAAGTTTGAGAACCACTGACTTAACAGGACTTGGGTTCATTGGCTAAAAAAGTTCTATACATGGTCTAGCTACTGGAGGTGGACAAAGACAATGCCATTTGCATGGATTACTCAGCTAGGATGTGTTCTGTCCCTTTCTGCCACCACCTCCTTGAAGCTGCTGCCTTGTGCTCCATATTCTGTTTGTTTATTTTTTAAGTGAGAGCTGGTTGGGAAATGTGGGGAGGGGAGAGAGAAATGTGCAAGTTCTCCTCCTGTTGTTGTTGTTGTTTTTTTTTTTGCTGGATTTTCATTTTCTGATCACCTCTGTTTTATAGATGCCGCCATCGCCATTCGGTTCTGGTTATAAACTGTTCATGGCAGAGTGGAGCTTCTGATGTCCCTCATGCATCTATTTTTAGTGAAGTACATCTCAGGGGCAGACCAAATGAGGCTATTTGTGTTTCTGTTCACTGTATTTGCAAGCAATGCTTTCTCTTTATCTTAACAGAAGATAAATGTAAACGTTTGTCCCAGTCTTTAGTCACCATAGCAAAGGAAGAGAAAACATATGTACAGGAAACACAGAAAGCAATAGTAGAGATAAAAAGAGTAAATTAACATTACCGTCATTGTAGGAAACCCATTAGAGGACAGAGAAACTTGTGTTCCTACTAACCTGGATCTTCCGTGATTACTCAGTTCTCAGACTTCAAGTCAAGTCTTTCTCTAACTTGCACCTCACTGGAGCCCTATGGAAAAATAGGGACACACAACTTGATAGTTTCTTGTTAACTTCATTTCTGGACTGAAGGCAAAACCCAAACTATTCTGGCTGACCTCTAGCCAATGAATCCATTTCATCAACTCAGCTCCGCATTCTAGAACCTCCTCACTCACACATACACAGGCAAGACTCCTGGGACATTATCTCAGCATCTCCTGCCATCAACTCCAGAATGTCTTGGGTACCAGCTTTCTCACAGAAAGGGCCAGTTAAAAAGCCATGTTTTAGATGACAGTCCAACATCTCCTTGGGAACCAACGTGTGAAGAGAAGACTGTCGGGTCTGTCAAATTATTCTTGCCTTTACTTGTTAAAGAGGATTTAACGAAAGGATTTTACTGATCTATTGTGAAGGTTGCTGGAGGCTGGATGCTTTACTTTAAAAGGTAAGGGCAGCAACATTCCATCAGGAAGGCAGCACATATTAAAAGGAGACAAATAAACCAAAACAAGTCCATTGGGCTTAATATCAAGCTAATTGTTTCTGACTAGTTCTTTTTTCCATCTGTAGATTCCTGACACTTTCACTTTCAAGGTGAGATGAAATGATGCAAAACTACAAGGAAGTAACATGTTCACCAAACTGAATGGACCTGTAGGTGAGTCAAGAGGCTCATCTTATTTTCCAAGCAGGAATAAATCCCATCTCTACTTCCCTGTTTCAGTGTATGATCTGCACCACCCCTCCCTTCCCCCGCTCCCCCTAAAAAGTTTCACCCCTTCCTACTGAGATGGAGGTTTGGTCACCACTCGTGCCGTTGAGGCATGTTATCATGAGCTCACGAAACAGAGGAGATCCAAGTGTTGAGAGAGCAAGTTATCACAAGTTTCAGAGTGGTAGCCGTGTTAATCTGTATCAGCAAAAACAATGAGGAGTCCTTGTGGCACCCTAGAAACTAACAAATGTATTTGGGCATAAGCTTTCATGAGCTACAGCCCACTTCATCAGATGCATGGAGTGAAAAATACAGTAAGAAGAATATATATTATACCACATGAAAAGATGGGAGTTGCCTTACCAAGTGGGAGGTCAGTGCTAACGAGGCCAATTCAAGTAATGTGAAAGTGGCCTATTCTCAACAGTTGACAAGAAAGAGTGGATACCAAGGGAGGGAAAATTTCTTTTGTAGTGCTAACGAGGCCAATGCAATCAAGATGGATGTCGCCCATTTCCAACAGTTGACAAGAAGGTGTGAGTATCAGCAGAGGGAAAATTACTTTTTGTAGTGACCCATCCACTCCCAGTTTTTATTCAGGTCTAATTTGATGGTGTCCAATTTGCAAATTAATTCCAGTTCTGCAGTTTCTCATTGGAGTCTATTTTTGAAGTTTTTTTTGTTGAAGAATTGCCACTTTTAAGTCTGTTATTGAGTGTCCAGGGAGATTGAACTGTTCGCCTACTGGTTTTTGAATGTTACAATTCTTGATGTCTGATTTGTGTCCATTTATTCGTTTGCATAGAGACTGTCTGGTTTACAACTGCTTAATGTGATGACAGTCCAATTTACCCCATTCCGCTCCCCCACATATTTCCTAGTGCCTCCCAACGCGCTCCCCCTTCCCTAGTTACTCCCATAGGGTTCAAGGGGACCACCTTATTTGCATTTCCTTCCCCTGGTATCATAGTAACAATTACACAAGAACTGTCTCTACAGGTAGATGGGTATGTTTTTGCAATTGTGGATAAATATGGGCTAGCCTCCTGATTTAATACTGAAGGCCATTATTCTGACCAAGCATCTCTCACAATATCCATTAACATTATTAACTGAGCATTTTGAATACCTACATAAACTTCTTCCCATGTTAATCTTCTGATGCTATCCCCCTCTCATGTCACCAGGTCCCCTGCCCAATGAGTTAATTGCAAGTTTACTTCTACTGCTGTCCTCCACCCTGTGGCAACTGCTGATAGTTGCTGTGCCATTAATTCATTAATTTGTTGTTGAAATTTCACATTTTGACTTACTAATTGTTTGGTTACCCACTCGTTCCCCCGATTCCATGTACCCAGCATAGTGTTCCCCGCTGCCCACAATCCTCTTTTCTGACGACGATTTTAGCTGTGTCCCCTCACCCACCAATTGAATTATTGTTTCAATCCTTTTATGTACATACTACAATTAGGATGAATTTGGTCCACCCACCATTCCTTGGGGCGTACCACCCATGTGATAGAGTGAAAGGACACGTTAAAAAGTGCTGGCTGCACCCACTCCAACAATGGCTCCCATACCTTTGCTCGTCGGGGAATATTCTCGGCTAACGTTTTCAGGACTGGTGTCTGCTTTCACATCCTAGCAAGCAGGACACTATCACCTTAACATAGTGGGACACACAAGGTTGGAAGGGGGAAGATGCTGAGCAATGGGGAACAGCTGAGAGCTACAAAAGTACATGAGTGTGAGTGGGTGAGAGAGAGAGAGAAAGAGAAAGATCCTGATGAAATCAGACCAGAGGTTACCCTGAAGATCCTGCTCTGTCCATTAGTGAAAACTATAATTTTGCTAAAATGACACCATGGGGCTAAGTATGTGGCATAAAATATTTGAGACTTACTAACATTTGGAGGTTAAAACAAAACATGGGTGGAGAAGCCATGTTATGAAAATACCTTCTTAGGAATGGAAGGTGGAATGGGAGGAACAAGCCTTTTGTACATATAATTTGGAGATACATCAAGCTTTGTTAGGACTCATCTATGCATCACTGAAGTCAATAGGAGCATTGACATTGAGTTCAGTGAGAGTAGGAGCAATCCCTTATTGCTGTTGTTCTATTTCCCTGCTTCCTATTCCAGCACTAAGCCTGAATTAAAAAAAAAAACACACACTGCAGCTTCTTTTGTGAGGTAGAAATTCTGTCAGCATGTGTATCCTGGAGGCAGTTGGCATGAGATGAAGGGAACAGCAGCAGCTAGAACTGGGACGTGGTTCTTTAATATTTAACCTCCTCTAGCATTAGGTTTTTTAATCAGTTTGTGTGTTATCCTCCATCCCAGTTCAAAGAAGGTTTTTCCCCTGGAGATTTCAGATCTTGGTTCCAGGGGCAAGGAGAACAGAGGACTCTCCCTGAAGGCTTCAGGGTGTGAATGTGGCCTCAATTACTCCAGTGTAATCAGGAAGAAGTGGCTCCATTGAAGTAGGTAGAATTGAAGCAGCATACATGAGATTAGAATCAGGCCCAATATCCGTTCCAGGAGGAGTCTCAGATCTTGGTAGCAGGGTAAGGTTCATCCATAAGGAGTTCAGATCCCTCAGCTGAGGGATGGTCGCCCCTGAATATATCAAATCTCTTCCCAGGAAGATGGTCTGAAGTATTATCTTTTCAGTTCAGGATTGTGTATCTCATTTTCTGCTTCAAGATGTGGAACTATTGGATTTAATGGCAATAGATCAGGGGTGGGCAAACTATGGCCAGCGGGCCGGATCCGGTCTGTCAGGGCTTTGGATCCGGCCCGTGGGATTGCCACCCCCATGGTGCTGTGGGCCCCATGCCGCTCCCGGAAGCAGCTGGCACCACGTCCCTGTGGCCCCTGGGGGGGGGGGAGGGTGCAGAGGGCACCGCGCGCTGCCCTTGCCTGCAGGCACTGCCCCCCGCAGCTCCCATTGTCCGGG